ACATTCCGTGATACTCCTTGAAATGTATGACCCCTCTCTCTTATTATTATTTCTAATAACAAGGCTATCTTTTCTCTCTTGTTTTAATACATGTATCTTCAAGTTCTCATAATTTTTTTCTATACTTGGACCTTCATGTGTCCATATTTTTTCAATACTTTTGCATATCCCATGTCTCTTTTGAAATAACATTAGAGAGATCATATTTTAAGCTTGGAGTGCTTATTCGGTGGAAAATGATAGGCATGTTTTTTGCGTACTTCTAGTGTAGAGGCATCATCTATTTTGTGGCATGTATGTGATCTTGATCTTGAGAGCATGATAAATTTCTTAACAAGGGTCAACAAGACTTGACAAAACTTAACACAATAGCAAATAGCTTATTATGAAGAAAGCTTGTATCATGTAAACTATGTATATGGTTGTGGTAGGAACTTTTCACCATTGAGGAAGTGTTCATTTTCATTCTTTTCAAAATAGAACTCTAGAAATCATACATTTGGAACAAGACTATAGCAGCTCTTATCTTGTTATCTCATACTCAGAACAACCTAGACTTAGTTATAGCACTTGCATCCCACAAAGTTTTAGGTTCATGATGGTTTCATATGAGCCAAAGAATCTAAACATAGAACAATATCTCGTTACATACTAGGCACTTGAGAAACATAAATAGAGCAACTATTCATCATTTCTAAGATGAGAGAATGAGGTATTCATGAAACATATGAAAAGCAAAATATTTTTGGTATTTTATTTTTATCATGTTTTTTAGACAAAAGAAAATAAATACATAAAAAATCAAATGCAGATACAAGTGACTTACCTTGTCGGGGCTCTTCCCCCAAGCTTATCCTGTTCAATGGTCTGCCTAGGTGGGTTGATGCTCATGTGTTGCCAATATGCCGCCCATTGGCATACATTTTCTTGTTGCATTGCTCGAAGGGTGTTGGAATTGATTTGTTCGGTCTCGTGGTTCAAGTTCATGTTGTGTTGCATGCCACTAGCCTGGATTTGTAGCTCACACTACTACACAAAATCTTTTGCTCAGCGTTTCCAAAATGGCAGGGCAGCCGGGCCAGCAACCAACTCGGTTAATACATTAACCAAGGCAAGCATTGCAAAATAACCGCCTTGGTTAATAAGTATTAACAAAGGTGTGCATTGTAACATAACCACCTCTGAGGCGGGCATTGTTAAATAACCGCCTCGGTTATAACCGAAGCAGGCATTGTAACATAACCGCCTTGGGTAATCATTAACCGAAGCGGGCATTGTAATGCAACCGCCTCGGTAAATCAGGCCCAACTCAGGCCCAAACAAAATCCATTATACCGGGCTCATATATAATCAAGGACTTAGGGTTTCTTCTCAGTCATTCCTCTCCACATAGACTCCACATAGCTGCCCCTTCCTCACTTTCTCCCTCCCTCCGACCCTCCCAATGTCCTCTCCCTTCGACCGAGCGAGCTACACGGGCAATGAGGGTCGCGCCTCCCTCCCTCCCGAGCAGCACGGCCTCCTCCTCCCCTTCCTCCGGCGTGGCCGCACGGCCGCCTCTTTCTCCTCCGACGCCCCGGCGTGGCTGCGCGCCCCCTCCTCCTCCTCGGCGTGGCTGCGCCCCCCCTCCTCCTCCAACTGCACAGCGGCCTCCTCCGATGGCCTCTAAGGCCCGTGGCCTCCTTCTCCGATGGATCTAGGGGCGGGGCATGTGGATCCGGCAAGGGGAGGAGGCGGCGCATGCGGATCCGGCAAGGAGCGGGCTCGGCTCCTTCCCCTCTTCCCCACCACCCCATCCTCCACCACAGGCGCGTCCAGATGCGGATCCAGCGGCGGCGGCACGTCCAGGTGCATGGCGTGGCGAGCGGCTGCGCTCTTCCCCCACCGGCGACCCTCTCCTCTTCCTCTCCCGGATCCAGCGACCGTGGATGGGCTGCACATGGATCCAGCATCTCTGACCCGCATCTCCGGCGAGGACGCAGCTGTGGCGATGGCGGCGGCGCATGGATGGGCTTGGTGGGCCCGTGGATGGTCTCGCCGGGCTTATCCATGGGTTTTCCTTTTTTTGTTTTTTTATTTAATTTACCAAGGCGGGCATCCAACCGCCTCGGAAAAGGTCCCATTAACCGTGACCTTTCGTCTGAGGCGGTTGCGATGCCCGCCTCGGTAAATCAATTTTGCCTGCCTCGGTAAAGATTTGTGTAGTAGTGTCACCTACTTGTTTTGTGAAGTAGTTGACGTTGTGGGCAAGCCATGGTACCCCCTCTCTCGTGAGGACGAAAAAGAGTATCGTGCAACAATTATTCTACTCTGATAGATGATTGTGGTGATGCAGGTGAAGCCACAGGGCCCTATGATATATTAACTTGAATGATGTGTTTATAGACATGGACGGTGACGGTGATGGAGGTTTCAAGGATCCCAAGAATGTTGATTCTTCAAGGAAATGCAACACCACCTTGATGACAGCGACGAACCCTATGTGGTTTGATGACTTTGGAGAAACAAAGAAGACAACGAATCAACCTTTGTATGATGGTTGTCCACCGGAATGAACGTAAGAGCAACCTACATATATATGAAAGCTTGGACAGATGTCCAAATAGTGGCATGAGTGGGTATAAGAAGAATGTTAGCAAATGAACTTTTGTAAACAGTTATCATGAAGACCTCCATGAAGAAAGGATGTGGTGACATACTTCTCTGGTATGAAACCATCTGAAATATACTACCCTGCAGGTTCCATTGAATACCAAGCATGATCCATCGAGTTACACTAGAGGAACACTCAAAAAACAGATGTATAGCCATCTCCTTGACATCCTCATGACACATCACACAGTTGTAGCCTTCTTCTAAGTGCTTGTTCCTACTGTGGAGCATATTCCTCGTGTTGAGACGATCAGCAAACAATAACCAAGTGTTGAACTTGATTCTTGGGATGCATTTAGCTTTCCAAGTCCACCGAAAAGGAGCAGGTGGAGAGATAGCAACAAAATAATGTTTATGAAATCTTGCAGAAGAGTAAGCTGTGGAGTTCCAAATATAGGACCAAACATCATTTGTAGGATATGGCATTCTAAGAGCTTCAAGCAAATCTCTAAAAATTGGGAATTCATTGTGTGCCATTCTGGACATAGGCAGCCTAAATAAATCCAAGCAGTATTCAATATCTAGAGCCATCTTCACAGAAATCTAAGGAGCTTTTGCATAGTGAAAGAGGTTGCCAAACTGCAGGTTCCAAGGTTGAGTTAAGAGTAAGTCTTCGCATAGGCTTGATGTAACACCAACTCCAGTAGTACACTTAGCAATACCTCTAAATGTGTTATGAAGCTTGAGAACATCCCTCCACCAAAAGGGTCCTTTTGGGGCTACAAGGTGAGGAACTTTAGCTTGATAGTATGAAGTCCAGAGAAGTTATACCCAAGGGACTTCAGCGTTGTTATAGAACTTGTCCAAATGCTTGACTAGCATACCATCATTTTGAAGCCTCAAATCCTTAAGCCCTAACTCCCGGGCTGCCAAGTTGTAACCCTTTGCATAAGATATTTAATGTGATGCATGACCAAGTTATTGTTGAATTAAAGGTCTACCTAGTTATTGAGATGCATTGCTTGATTAGATCCTAAGAATTGATTTGCCAATTACGACCATGAGAAACTAACGAAACTTATTAGACTTGTGATATTGATTTCTCCCAATATTATCGTGATCAGCTTCAGGCCAACATGATAATTTCATTACTGATGTGAGAGTTGATCCTTCTTTCAGAAATTGTATTGACCTTGGTATTCTTGCTATAAAGATGGTTCAAACCGATAGAACGCAAACTTTGGATTGGTTTATCGCCTCATTGGGTTAGCCTTGATTTTACTGGTTACAACAGCCACAGTAGAAGGATTTTCTTAGATATGAAGGTTGTCAAGACCGAGTCTCAAAATAAAATGGGAGATGAATGGTTGAATCATAGGATGGTATGTTACTTTGAGCCAGAGGTATTTTCAACCATTAAAATGATAACATCTTATATCATTTTCAAGAATTGAAAAAACGAAAGAAGACCTAAACTACCTAGTAGTAATACTTCTGGTATGTTACTTTCAAAATACAAATGCATAATAACAAATAAGCTTTTTTTTTTGTTTGTCCTTTTTCTTATTAACTCTTGCATCTTATTCAAATTAGGAGTCGTCATTGAGGATATGGAAGTGGAAGATGTGAATGCACCAATATAATCATCATTAGGTATATATTTTTTAATGTTTCATGTTATTTCTTTAGCTGTTGTATCCTACTATTAGTTGAACAACGTTTTGCAAACTTTTCTTAAGAATAGTTATTAATGACGGTGTTGCTTTCTGCTTTTCGCTATTAGAATTTGGTCCTAGCTAGTCACCAAATGCTGGGTTCGCCACAAATTGTTCTGTTACTGTTACTGTAACGAAAAATCATTGTTCATGGCTAGCTTAAATAATTTTACACTTCTATATTTCAGGTGCCTAATTTTGTTGTTGTTCTTCAGGCAACATCTAATTTTGTCATTGTTTGACTATAGAAAAAATGTGAATTATCAATTATATCATGTGAGCTGTCCTTTTAATTGTAAGTAGTTGGTTGTCTAAGATTGTTGCCTGAAAATTCAGACACCTTGAATATAGCAACTCCTAATTATAATATTCCATGGAAGATTTCATTATTTCCTACGTTTACGAAGGTTGTGTCCTCTCCACCACCCACATACACGAGGCTCACGTCAACTCGCCTCCACCCGTTCTCATCTCTGTCTAAACCGCCGGTTTCGCGGCACGCTCGCTCGCCTTCTCCGATCGCGCATGCCATGCACCCTACCAGAAATATACTCGTACCAGCTGCCACCATGCCTCTCTTAATCGACCTGCAACAATCCTCACCCAAATTATACCAATCCACTCACGCAAGAGCGAATTAATTAACCCTCTGCCTGATCACCGCAAGCTCTCGCACTGCACGGTGCACGCACCATGGCCGTGTCCCGCCGCGTCGTCCTGCTCCTCGTCGTCCTCACGGGGGCCGCCGCGGTGGCCGCCGCGTCCTCGCCCACCACCGGGGCCTCCGCTCCCGACGATGCCGACACCAAGCCGAGCATCCTGACGCCCATCGCGCACACCCCCGTGGGATCCTTCGAGGGCGCCGATGGACCCGTCGCCGACGACGCCATTGACGACGATAACGCGGCGCCCGTGGGCTCGCCCATCGGCACCACCATGACGGAGCCCGAGCCGGAGCTCGCGCCCCCGGGGCCTCCCGATAGCAGCAGCGCCACCGCTGCCTCCGTACGCGACCCAGCCGCTGCTGCTGCGGTTGCCGGCGCCGCTCTGGCGGCCGCCGGCGCCATCTTTGCCTTCTGATAGGACGGTGTGCATGAGTGTGCCGCTGTGCGTGTGCATGTGTTGCGCGCTCTAAGTTATGCACGTACGTCCCATCCTTCTTTTGTGATCTTTTTTTCCTCTTTTCGTTGAAAATGTGCATCAAAATTATTTCATTTTCTGATAGCAGGGACAGGGTGCATGACAGCCTGTGTTGTTACTGACAAATTAACGAGAAATTAGTAGTATCCACCTGGAATTTTTCTCTCCTTTTTTTTTTGTCCTAGAAGATAGGTCCACAAAAATGTAACATTATGTACACACTCAGGGGGGTCAATGCATGATCTAGCTATGAGACTATTTGGTCCTGTCTAAGTACATCCCTTATATTTTCAGGTTTTGAGCCAATTCAACTTGTTGAAGTGTACAAATACAACCAACATTTTTTCCCAATTGATGATGTGTGCATTGTGATCTCTTTTCTCATTTTGTTCCTCTCGACTGCATGCGTTCGTGTGCGTACAGGGATGGCCGGGGGCAGCGGCCAGTTCGGCGATGGCGGCGAGGCAAGCTGCAATGGTGCCACCGGCTAGGCTGTGGAGAACAACCGGTGGGTAGGATCGGTGACAGGGGTCAGGGGCAACAAATGGATCAGGGAAAACAATAAACAATTTTTCGCCCCCACCCCCTATCCACCCATCTCCCCACCATCGCGGTGGCGGCGGCCCGCTACAGCACTAAAAAAAGGCCTCCCGTAGCAACTTTCACCGTACCTCCTTCCTCGGGTTATTTTAATCGATGCCATTATAATTTTTCAACTTCTAGAAACACCACTACAATTTAACTATTCGAAGTCTTGCCATTACAATTCTTCTACTGTCTAAAATATGCCACTTTATACGTTTTTTTATGCGGTTGGACCCACCTGCAGACCAACCTTGTTTCATGTTGACTAAAATGCCCCTGTCCCTCTCTTTCTCCCACATCACTAACGTGTGGGCTCCAGTGTCATCTTCTTCCTCTCCTCCCCTCACTGGTTCCGGTCCGCACGCAGCAAGACTCGTGTGGGCTCCATGGCCACCTGCTCGACGACGACTTCAGCTCCAACTCGCTCATCGAGGACATCTCGCCGAGCCTGGAGGCGGCGCTGTCCGGCCCCACCAAGAAGCCGCGCCGGTGGCGCAAGGCGTCGAGCCTTTGGGGTCTCATCCACTGGCGCGCCACCGGGCGCAGGAGCGGTGGCCCGTCCAACATCGTCGACCGTTCGTCCATGGATGGACCTGCGCGTCCACGGAGCCAACACCAAGATACAGCGGTGCAACAGCAACCTGAGCGCGCGCAGGCGCGCAGCTCGTTCAGCAGCAACAATGGCGGGCTCGACAGCTCTAGGCGCAGCTACGTCGACGCCAACGGCAACGTGAGGTGGAGGGGGGAGCCGCAGTGCACGCGCGCGCGCGCAAGCGCGCAGAGCGGAACCGCCACGCTACTTCGCCAGCGTGGGCGCCATGGGCAACAGCGATGCTTTGCGTTCTACTCGCGCCGATGCGGATCGGCGTCGATGGTGGCGGCCGCAACACACGCCGTTCAGGATCGTGCTCGCCCTATACTAGGCGAGGCTACGGCGTCAGTATACGTTCCTCTGCCAATCTACATGTTCCTCCTCCTTCCAAGGAGAGATGCAGCCCGCCGGCGGCGCCGCCGACCTTGTGGCCACACTGGAGTCCGACGGTGCTCCGTGCTCGTGCCCGCGCCGGTCTCACCAAAGTACTCGGCCGCACGACCCCATGATTCCCGCCGCTGTCGTTGTGCACCACCGCGCCGACGTGCAGCCCCACACCGCTTCGCGCCTCGCCGCCACTCGCACGCTTGCGAGCCTGGCCGCCCGCATCGACGGTCCAACGCCATGGCCATAGCTCGCAGCTACGCCTACCCCGTGGCGTTGACCGCTTCTGCGCCTCCCAGCTTCGCGCTAGCCTCCCTTCTTGTTGCAGGCCGGCCGCCAGCCGCGTCAAGGAGCTCTCCCACCATGGCTGAGCACGCGGCGCGGACGGCGTTGAGCGCAGCGGGGCATCTCGCTGGAGGCCTGGAGAAGAAAGTAAGAAAGAAGGTGACAGGTGGGGCCTACACGTCAATCACATGGAGTTTGAGAAAGGTATAGGGGTATTTTGGGCAATACGAGAATACAGTTGGCTGCAGGTGGACCCAACGTCTTAGAAAGTGTACAAAGTGGCGTATTTCAGATAACGAATGAATTATGATGGCACGGTTCTACATAGATGAATTGCAGTGGCGTGTCTCAGAAATTAAAAATTTGTAATGGCACCATTCAAAATAACCCTTCTTCCTCCCTCCTCTCCTCTTCCCCGTCAGAACTCAGTTTTTTCTGCCAACAAAGATGGCCGATGGTGACCTGGAAACGCCGACTCTGAGTCGTTTGGGCCCGGATTCGGCGACCCCCACCCTGGATCCAGCGGGCGGCAGGAGATCAAGAGCTGCGCCCGGCAGGCATGCTGGCACGGAGACCGGCGAGTGCGCTTACGACCGGCGGCACGCGGTCGGGCGGCCAAGCCCTGCGCCAGCCCATGGCAGCCCAGATCCAGTGCGCGACGACCGAACGGGCGCAGCGGCCGGCGGTTGCGCCCGCGCAACTACCGGCGGCAAGCGGCCAGCCGGCTGTGCGGCCAAGCCCTACGCCAGCCCATGGCGGCCTAGATCTGGTGCGCAGTGGCCGGTGGGTGCGCCAGCAGCGGCTATTGGCGGCAGGCGGCATCGCTCCTGTGCGCACTGGCCTGCACCGACACTGCCACAGGTAGCGGCCGGTCGTGCTAGGCCCATGGCGACAAGAGCTGTGCATGGCCGAGCGGCCGGAGTGCCTACCTGCGGGGCTGGGCTCTGGCCCGCGCCCGCAGGGGCCGTACCGCCGTAGCTGCGATCCATCTCCGTCCTGGCTCGCGTGCAGGCAAAGCAAGGCAGCAGCCTGCGGCCGGCTGCCAGGATGGTTTCGCCAACGTCTTGCAGGGCCGGACTGCTTTTCTCCGTCCGTGACACAGCGCGAGACCTTTTGGTCCTGCTCCTGCAGCGTGCTTGGACGCGTCGCTGGTCGTGCGCGGATACACGGATGCGCGCCTGCGCCCGCGCCCGCGTTCCTCTACACCGTCCTCGGCTGCTCCGGCTCCTCGTCATCCTCAGCAAGTTTGGCTTGCTTCCGCAGGTATATGAAGTCTACGTGAAAATCTTGCCTGGCTGTTGCTGCAGGCCAGCGACGATGGCGCAAAATGGCGTCATATCCCCTAGACACGTCGCTAAAGATTTTGGTCCCTGCTCTCAAAGCCTTATGATCTTGCTGCTATCCGTGGGCAGGTCTCAAGGAGAAAGCCCTTCTGAGCCTGTTGCTCTGATTTCGATGGTGACGTTCGTGGACATCGCTTCCCTTCCTGAAGGCATTGATACAGACTCGCCGGTATCCGATTACGCAATGGCGAATCCTTGAGCTCTCACGGATTGCTCTCCACCCTCTTGTTATTGGTTTACCTATCCTCCTACACCTTGCTTTTGCTTGCAGTCTTGCTGGCAGGTGCTCGCTCTCAATGGTATGCTCTGTTGTCCTCTGGGTCACTTGAGTGCTCGCCCTCAATGGCATGCTTTGTTGTCCTCTGGGTTACTTGAGTACTCCGCCTAATCATATGCTGGGTTACGAGGATCTTGATCTTCTCCTTTGGATCTCCTCGTGCCCTTCCTGATTGTCCTTCCTCCTTTGACGCTTCCTCCCCCCAAAGGGCGTAGATGGTTATCAGTTGGGCCTCAGATACGCTCATAGGCGATATAACTCACAGCTATCGTTTGTTGGCTTTTACTCGATGCCTTACAACACCTCACTCAATACCTTATAGATGCATGTGGTTTAGAGCTCTTCAGAGTATGTTTTGGTGGTGGCACAAGTTAGGAAGTATTGCTTGCACTCGCTCCGGCTGTAGGTTGAGTTGGTAGCTGAATCTTATTGTTTTTGCTGTTGTTTTGTTAAGCGTTGTAATCTTTCTCTCTTCCACTTGTCATGTACTCCTCTGACCTTCAAGGGTCGCCCCTGTATTATAGGTGCTCGGCACCCTCCATTTCCGACTTTGTCAGTATCAGTGAAAAATTATTCAGGTGGGGACTTTTCATCCCCCAGCTGACGTCTTAAAAAAAACAAATGGATTAGGGCGGCTAGGACAGCAGTGCCAGGGCAGTTGAAGACGAGTTTAGGTAGAAAACACGGTCGTTGCATCACGAAGCCCAAACTAGATAGGTTATAACGATGATCTTTAGACCAAAAGAAAAGACTGAAGTTTACTACCGAAATATAAAATGTATATGATTTTTGGGCACATAAAGCAGCACTAAATAGTGTCTAATTTACGACTGCACAGTCTGAAAAAACAACAGACATTATTATGATATTAGAGCCCTGATCCCAGCCATTAATCCATCAAACTCAATAAACTCTAGTATGGATAATCACACTTAAAAGAGTAATCTAGGTGTTACAGTAGGAAAAGAATAGCACGATTGCAGACTCTGTAGTCCAGCCATTCTCATATAAACAGATAAAAAGAAGTAACCAGATAACAGATATCTAAACAGTAGCTGGAACGCTAGATAAATGGATAGCAGAATACAACTTAGCAGAGATAGCATAGTTTTCTAAACAGAAATGCTATACAACACACATGTGTTTTAGCAAAAAAAAAACACATGGATTTTTTTTTCTCTCTTTCCCTCTCTCTTTTGTCTCTCCATCTCTCTCGAATTCCTCAAAGCTGAGCGCCCCATCGCCATCAAGATCAAACCTGCAGATCATGGCCCTGCACTCATCAATGTCCTGGTGCGAGCACTGCCGAGCATCCGCTTCAGGCTCACCGGCGTGATGCACCCTTCGCCTTCCATGGCGTACATCCCGAACGCCTCCCTGAGCTCCCCGCCAGTGCCAGCGCCAGGAGCTCCTCCTGGCTCAGCAGCCCGTCGCCGTCGGCGTCCGCCTCCTCCGCCGACATGTCCTCGCCCAG